CTCCAGTCCCCTAATCATCCTGGTTGCTCTTCTCTGCAACTCTTTCTAGAGTCTCCACATCTTTTTTATAGTGTGGTCTTGCAACCACAATTGAGCCCAAAATTTCGGTTGTTAAGTGAGACATTTGTCAACTGGGTTTTGCCTCATTTTACAACTTTTCTTGCCACTGTTTTTAAAGTGAGTAACACACTATCTTTACAACTCAGCAGGGAAGCCACACTAAAATCCAGCTTCCCTGTTGACTTCGCTGATCGGAAGGTCGCAAAAGGTGGGAACCCAAGTATAAATATGAGTGGGGATGCTGCAATGGTTGTGTGAAGAATAGTCATGAGTCACTTTTTTTTTAAACTCTTGCCGTAACTTCAAACATCACTAAAAGAACTGTTATAAGTTGAGAACTACCTGTGTTCTGGAGATCACCATCATCTTCGTCTTGCAGCCTGACCCACTCATACTTCAAGTTCAATATGTCCTTGAGAAGTTCTCCTGTGGAATTCTCTGAGACAAAGCAGGAGTCACTCTTTCTTCAACTTATGACATCTTCCACAAGTGGGAAAACATCCAGAAAACCTGGCAATAGCACTTCCTTGCTTGATAATGGACACCTTTTAGGGTGGTTTGATTTCTGCCAAACAAAACACATCTATCTATAGAACATTCCTCCATAAGTCTTGAAGATCACTGAGGGGAGAAACTTGACAAGCATCTACGTTCTTCTCCGTGAGCATGGCCTTCCCTTGAACTACAGCCTCATGCCTTCCATTTTTATTCAGTTTCTTTTAAATGGCTAAGTCATGTAACCTGACTTATTCGAAATAAGAGAAACCAGCAGATCTCTGGATGCTGTTCTGGGTTTCTGTACTGTTGTACATTGTGCTTGTGGATTGATTTTTAATAACTCACACAATTGGTCTTAGTTATCCCTTTAAAACGAATCAGCTGAATTGGTTGAAGTGGGTTTAAGGTAGTCACTTTTTCACAATGGAACAATGCACCTAGGAAGATTTAGTTGATGAAATTTATCAAAGACAAGGACTACAATTCATTGCTATTCATTCAGGCTCTCTTTATATATTGGAGCTTATTTTTGCAAACATTCAAAAAACCCGAAAGAGGCAATTAATACATGTTCCCCAAATTTTATAATCCTTAGCTCTTTTCCTTCTTGCAAATTTTGATCTAAACTAAACAGCTTAAAACCAGAGAGCTTATGTGGTTTTTCAAAAGTCCTGATTACAGTGCCAAATTCAAATGCGTAATAAAGCCCAAAGTGACAACAATAAAATATATGGAGAGTGATTACATTAAATCGCGCACAACCACCCCACATAACCACCAGGAGTTCGGCTTGATCTGAGAAAGACACAATTTTTAAAATTAAGTTCTTTTTGACTTAAAGTACTATTCATTTAAATTTTTCTTAATTTCACTGATTTTGGAGGGAATGCACACTGAAACAAACTATAGCACTTGCCTGAAAGTATTATTCTAAATTTTATAGTGCATTTCTATAAAATAGTCATCTCTAACTCAGCATTGTTCGGGATGAGTGTTTCTCAAACTCGGTAACTTTTAAGATATGCTGGCTGGGGAATTCTGGGAGTTGAAGTCCATCCATCTTAAAGTTGCAGAGTTTGAGAAACTAGCTGACATACCTAGAATTCTCAGGCAGATTTTTGCAGGTGTGGGATTTTTTTGGGGAGGGAGGGGAGCCTTTAAATCAGTCTTAACTTCTAGTCCTTGCAAGTCCCAGCAGTTTTCTTGGCAACATTTTCAAAAATGGTATTTCTTTGTCTTTTTCTTTCTAAGGCTCAGAGGGGAGGGAGAGAATTAGAGAGGCAGAAAATGAGAGAGGGAGAGAGGCGGGGAAAGAAAGAGAGGGAGAGAGAGGGAGAGAGAGAGAGAGGGAGAAAGAGAAGAGAGAAAGAGGGAGAGGGGGGGAGAGAGAGAGATGGAGAGAGAGAAGAAAGGGAGGGAGAGATAAGAGAGAAAGAGGAAGAGAGAGAGAGAGGGAGACAGAGAAGGAGACAGAGGGGAGAGAGAGAGAAGGATGGAGAGAGAGGGAAGGAGAGGGCGGGAAGAGGGAGAGAGGCCCAAGTCACCCAGCTGGTTTTGTGTCTAAGGCAAGAGTGGAACTTACAGAGTCACTCCAGCTTCTACTTCACTGCCTTTAACCACCAAGTTGAACTGCCTTCTCGTCTAGAGCAGCGGTCGCCAATCGGTGGGCCACGAGAAAATTTTGGTGGGCCACAGAGAAATCTCACCTCCAGAGCACTCCCCCAAAGCAATTAATCCAGGCTGCGAGCCGCCCACATGGCCCACCGGAACCCTCCCCACCCACTCACTCCTTACCCGGTAAACTTGCCTGCTAAAGTGCTATTTTTCCTTTTTCCAACCATCATCTGTTCTGCTCTGCCGGGAGATTTAGATTAGCTAGGAAGAAGGAAATGGTTGGATTTCTTGCTTTCTAGCTAGTCTTTAGATCTTCGGCTCAGCACAGCCCCAACCTCCCTTAGGACTGAGGGTTTGCTTGCAAGCAAATTCAGTGCAGACTCACGGCAAGCAAATTTGAGAGACTGAGCTAGCCGATGGCAGATAGATAGATCACTGAATGATTCTGTGAGCAACTCAATCTGCCTGCTTTGCCTGATTTTGGGTAAAAGTTGCTCTTTTTTATAAAAAATTCAATATTTACATGCATGGTGTGTTGTGAGTTAATTTTGTGAGTTTGCTTGCAAGCAAATTTTATGTGACAGACTGAGCTAGCTAATGGCAGATAGATCTCTGAATGAATCTGTGATTCTGTGAGCAACTCAATCTGCCTGCCTGCTTTGGGGTAAAAGTTGCTCTTTTTTAAAATAAAAAATTCAATATTTATATAAATATTTATAATATTTACATACAAGCCATGCCCAGCCAGTCACATGACCACCAAGCCACACCCACAAATTAGGCCATGCCCACAGAACTAGTTAGTAGTCCCTGGGATCTAAAATTATGAGTTTGGTGGTCCCTGAGCTCCAAAAGGTTGGCGACCCCTGGTCTAGAGGGTAGCGTGTTTTTAAGTGGTATGAGCTGTACTAGCAATTCAAGGTCACCTTGGTATTTTTATGCTGGATAAAAATACAACCAAAATACCACATGTACAATTGGGATATATATGCAGCTACAGACCCAGACAGAATGATACACAGGCATAAATGTAAAGTTGTAATTCTGCAGTTTAGACTGCATAGTCCTTTTTAATTTTAAATTAATTTTCCATATTCCTGCCTCTGTTATTTTTACAAATAAGTAAAGGCAGCAAACATATCTACAAACTTAAAACACCAATGGCACACGTGTGTTTACTGGACAAAAAGAAAGCCCCTTTCAATTCAGTGGCACCTTTGAGTTAATTGAATGATTATTGCGACGTAACGTTATCAGTAACTTTATCAGATGCGTTAGAAGGGTATTCTAAGTAAATAGAGCTCTAGAAACATGTTAACAAGAAAAAAATAGAAAGACGATAAAACTGTGCAGTATAAACTAAGAATCAATAAAAGAACATTGGCAAGGAAATCAGATTTCAGTAGAAATATTGGTAATATACAGTATCAATAGAAACATTGGTAAAACCATCATATTATTTATTTATTTATTTATAAAATTTATAGGCTGCCCATCTTACCTCAAGGTAACTCTGGGCAGCTTACAATTATTAATAATAATAATATATGTATATTTTTCCATTAGCTTCATATTTGGCCTGCAAAAATCTGGGTGAGTTCCCACTTTCTCTGGTCTTGCATCCAGGGATCATCTGGAATTCTATAGCCCAGATATGGTGCCCCTTACTCTTTCTAACTAACCAGGCTTAGTTTGCAAGAAGCTAGCCACCTTCAGAATGATCACTAACACAGAGAAATAATCTTAAACACTCTTGCAAACATTCTGACCCAGATCCCAGCTAAACACAAGCTGCAGACTGAGATTCACTGTGATATCTCTCTCTCCCACCTCCACTTACAAAACAACTTCCAGAAATAGCAATATTCTCCTCCCCTCCCTTCCCAAAAAAAGTCAGAACACTCAGCAGTGAAGCCCCGGCGATAGGAGTCTACTAAGAATGAGGTGAGAACCACTTACTGGATCCATCCTCTGAAGTAAAATCATGTAGCAACACATATATAATATCATTCACGGACTACACATCTCTTGAGATTTATTTTCCCATTTTGGCTGCCAGAGAGGCCCAGATCTCAGTGGCTTAGATGAACTTCTCCTGACAACTTGGAAAGCTGATCCCCTCCCTTCCCTTAATCCCTTTCCCTAATCCCACCCCCTACTCTTTCACTTTTTAATCTAGGGAAACTGCAAATGCAAACAGCTGGAGAAACACCATTTCTCCCCCTCTCTCACTTGCACAATCACTACCCGAGTATCCTTAAGCCACTCGCACCCTCTCTCCATCCATCCAGTCCTGCCAACGTTCCCCAAATCAGGGTCAATGTTGACAATCGAAGCAAGGGAGACAAAACTGTTCCCAACCCACCGAGGAGAGAAGGAGGTTGGTGATTCTTGCAGACAAAAGATCCAGGTGTTTTCAGAGGCTTCTCGTCCGTTTTCCAAGCAAGATTGACAAACACACAAAAAAAGCGAGAGGCACCCCTTTCCCCCTCCAGACCGCAAAGCCACCCCCCCCCCAAAACGGGGTTTAAGGAAGAAGGACGCAGAGGAGGAAGGCGGGAGGAGAAAGAAACAAGAAAGAAAACCAGGCAGACGGCAAAGAAATTCCAGACACGCCAGCGTCAAGATGGCGTAGAAACGGCAAGGCCTCTGGAGAGAAAATACCCATCTCTTCTTTCTCTCTCATACACCCCATTCTCGGAACCCCCAAACCATTGAATTCCCAAGGGGGAAAAAAAACAGAAGCAGCATTTTCCTAATAGGTCGAAATAATGCCTTTGCGGGTTTGCTTAGAAATGCAGCAATCCACCCCTCGACCCAAACAATACCTGTTTTTTCTTTGATTTCGCAGAGAACGGTGAAGAGAGCCGGTTTCATGCGGTGACAATTCAGCGTGTGTTTCCTGCAGTTGAAACAGTGGAAGAAAGAGAGAAGATAAAGCCATTTGGTTCCTTTTCTGTGGCTTCAAGGAAAGGGAGAACCTTTTTGTGTCCATCATCGCTCATAGGCCTCGCTCGGCTGAATTAATCAACGTCTAGCAGAGTCCGTACCCCACCCCCCAGCAATTCCCAATATAATTCCAACATCCGGATTTCCCCAGCAATGAAAAAAAAAACACCCACATGCATTTCCTTTCATTATGGAACATTTTTATCCAAATTATGGGATAATGTTCCATGGGCAGTGAAATAGGAAAACTTTTTATTTCAAGAACTTTTTCAAAACCACAAAATAATAAACTCTATATTCACTGCCTGCCAGGACTATACACCAGTCCGAAGTTTGTGTGTTGTTGCAGCTTTGATGTTTTTAATCCATTTTTCTGCCTGATTTAATTGTGTGTGTGTGTGTGTGTGTGTGTGTATCTGTGTGTATGTATGTATATGTATACACACACACATATGCAAATACTCTTCTTCCTGCTACAAAAGGACCCTCCATGAAATAAGATTCTCCATTTTGCATACACAATTCACCCCACTTCTAAAGAGTAACCCAATACACAAAGTATTGTAATTGGTTTTTTTTTGTAAATTAACACCATCTAGAAAGAGAACTAAGACCTGAATCCTAGATAACATTGATGCATACAAATACATCTTTAAGTAAAACAGCAAAGGGCTAATCTTTTATTACTGTATCCCCAAAATGGAGTGAAACCACATTCAAAATTATGAACCTTCCACACTAAAACACAACTTTTGCCATCCTAACTAAAATCTTAAAACCAAAAGCCTCTTTGGAGTCTTACAAGCTTCAGCGCCCAGCAATTCCACATAAAAACACCTCATGCAGAGCCTGCTATTCAATTTACTACGAGTCATATTAGATTTAACAGACACAAAGCCACAAGTCTTACTAAAATGCACCCTTGAGGAACTATCCAAATATACCATATTCCTTCTTTTTGGCTGGCACCTCACAAGAGTTAAGTAGTATAGCCTGAGTACTTTCCGCTCACAGCAACAATTCTAATTGAAAAACAAATATCTTCCAGGAACTGAAATCCATCCTCTGAAGCAAACTAATGTAATACAAAGCTCTTCACACACATCAAAACACATCTCAGTAGCCAACATCAAAACACATCTCAGTAGCCGTGCCTGGCAAAAAACCCAGCAACATCACAAAACAATGGCTCTTTAAAGACTGTCAGGAAATAAAACTAGTTTTAAAGAAAACCACAACCTGAATCCACCCAAAGTTAAAAATTCAGAAGTTGCAACCGTAATACCAAGCCAGTATTGCACTCCAGATCAGAAGGTACAAATGCAAAAAATTACTGAGTATAATTATCAATACTAAAACTGTGCGGAAAGTCAAGAAGTGAAAAGAGTATGAATGGTTAATTTGGGGAGAGAATCCCCCCTTTTTTTCCTAATCAGCTCTTAGATCTTTAGAGCTAAGGGTTCAATCCCTATTTCTCTTGCTGTTTCAGACAGATCCACTGAATTTTTATATGGGTATTTAAATCCTCTCTTAGTTTTCCTCAAACCGACAGCTGTTTTTTTCTTTTGCAAATATTTTCTACTGCAAATCAGTTTGCCCACACAGATTTGCATGTAAAGCCCAAAGCATCTCCGGGTATAGTTCCCGAGTTCCTCTTTGTATCCTGAATGCCAGATCCAGAAGGCCCAATATCCCTGCATGCTTGCTTGTTAATCAAGTTCTTTTTATGCCTCCTACCACGAACCCCTCTCACCTCTTCCCAACAATAAATAAAAATCAAAACTTGCTCTGCATTGCCAAGCTGGGACGAAACTCCCCCCCCCCCCCCCCCCCCCCCCCCCCCCCCCCCCCCCCC